TTTTAAATTCCGTGCTTTGTTATCGTACCCCACAGGGTGTTTCAAACTTTCACCAAAATATCAACATTTTGTTTTTCCTCGTATGGCAATTATCATTACAACTTTCATTTTTAATTTAATAAGAGATATTAAAAAGTCAAATAATTTAGCTACAAATTGCTTAAAAGTTAATCAAAATCGGTCCACTAGAACACAATATATAAATCTTTAAAATACATGAAAATTTTAAGGTGCCCATTTTTCGTACCCGTGAGTGCAGTCCCTATTTTAAGAATCCAGCAAATCAGAGATCATTAAAATCGGTCCAGTCGTTCTTCACAACTAACTTGACATGGTTTTATTAATTTATATGTATCCGATGGCAATTCTCATTACATAATTAAATAATAATTGACTCTTCTATACACATAGTCAGGTTCATGTTTATTATAAAAACAGTTTTGTTAGATGAGTAAATAAATACTTATTAAAGTAATTTTCTTATTAGGCGCCCAAGCCTGAAAAACTCTCAAACACACTCGACTAATTGAATACGGTTTTTAATTTCCTCCTAGCGTCGTGAAAGAAAACTAAAAAACTACACGCAGAAGATAGGGAAATTATTACCGAACGTTCTCTGGCTCATCTGTGAGTAATTAATTCAATTAAATAATCGTTTTATAGGCGCGCTAATAATATGTTTCTTCCTGTGAGATGGCGACAGGCGCGGAAGTTTTGACCATTGAATGATAATGAATTTATAGCTGTATATAGAATATCGTTTTTGCTCGGTTTAATGCCCCGTTGTTCGCTGTGTGTATGTTACCCGAGATGTATTAATTACACGGAGATAAGTTAATAATTAAATATAGTTGTATGCGGTTAAAGCAAATCGTGTGGAAGTAAAGCTTTTAATTTTTTTATAATATGAAAAAGGTATTTTTTATAAACACCAAATTGTCAGTGGTTTTTTACTAATAAAATAAATTTGTCTAACCGACAATTCAGATATATTTAAATATGCGAGGTGTTTTTCACAACATATTCACAAAACTTGTGTGAATTTATCAAAATATATTTAGTGAAAAATGACGCCACGTCACGTGACTTCTTGTCCTTCTTGTGAAGCTGAAGCGTATTAAAGTATTCGACGTAATTAGAGGAAACAACGAACGACGAAGAACATATTAATCTAAGCAGTTTTTTGAACAGGTGTTTGAATAGGTCTCAGTGCGTGGGTGATTAGTGTTTTTATAATTTAAGGGTAAGTATATTATACTAGTTATATATGTTTATATGTAGTTTCTGTAAACATAAAGCCAGCTCTCTTAGAAAACACAATCTCCTTTTATTATAATTATTTGCATTTTAATTTTAGTGATTTTTTAAGTAAACATAATTGTTCCATGCGTGTGTGTGATCTCTCTATATCAACATATCTTTAAGTACATATTATTTATTCTTACAGACTGTGTTTCGGAGGACAAATTTAATAGAAGATAGGACTAGAGGACTCTGACCTAACCTAACCTATCTGACAATCCTATGGCAATTTTGTTCCTATTTTGGTTAGGCGCAGAATTCCAGTAAGGTTCTTCTAGACAAGAAGAGATGGCAATGAATTTTTTTTAAAGGTTAATAAAAAGTCACAAAACAGGACTTATGTATGTAAGATATTCATGTTCATCTCTTCTTGTCTAGAAGTTTGTTATTAACCTTTATAATAAATATTATAATTATAAATACGTGTTTTATTAAATTTATTAATATTTACTAACGCTTTGTGAATTTATAAAAGTAACTTTAAATTTACTATAATAAACTGTTTTAATTTGTTGTTACTCTATAGTAAAATTACATGAAGTTAAGAAAAGATACGAATTAAGAAGTCAAAATTGTTGTAAATTAAAAAGACAATAAGTAAATTTACTATGAGATACACATTTTTTAAATAAATTCACAAAGAATATTGGTGAATATAAAGATATATTATAATATACCAGTTAATATTTGCCAGCCCTTGGCAAAGGTTATTCTTGGGTCGAGATTTCCGTATGTAAGAAGAGTACAATGCGTTTATAATGTACTGAACAAAGAGAGGACAGTAAACACGTTGCCAAACGTATGAAATAAACCGAGAAAATGTGCACATCGCTAAGAGACGTGGAAGGGGATATAGCAGATTTGTCGCAGTTGACCGGTCGACCCAGTCAATACCTCTGTCAGTACTTAAAGTTTTAGGGAAAGGTGTACGTCATGTGTTCAGCTTCACGATTTAATTACGTCTCGTGATACTTAATTTGTTTATTTATTAACGAGTCGTTGTAATTTTCCCTATAGCTTGAATTTTTTTAAGTGCAAGCTAGAAACACTTGCATTTTTGGTAAAAATAAGTGGAATTGAGTGGGTGTTCGATAGTGGTCGCGCTATTAGAAATATGAATTCAAAAATCAATATCTCGAAATCTATTAGAAATAATAGATTGTAGTTTTTTCAAGAACTTTGTTAATATTTCTGCTGTATTTTCTTTGTAGACAGCTGCTGAAAATTGCTATGCTCTAAAAGTAAATGGATGGATTGTTTACAATTTGTGAATGGCAAAAACAACCTTATCGAATTTTTCCTATGTAAACATATTGTAAAATATCCGATCTTGAAAATAAAAAAAGTTTCAATATCTAAAGTGGTTCTTGAGTTATGTGTTAAAAAGTTTTGAGTTTTTAAATTATCGCGATTACTGATTTTCGTTATAAAAAAAATGACACCCTGACGATATCCTTATAATTCCATTTCAAATGCTCAGAAACATGTCTAATGATTTTATTTAGTTATCTCTTGAAACAAAAAAAATAAGCGGTTTGCGATCGTGATTTTACTTTATTTGATAGGGAAAGGCGTATCGGCAACCGCCGTAAAAGCCGCAACAGCACAACGTCGCGCGTCGCGTCCGTCGGTCGATCGCATTTCTCTCACTCCTATAACTTCTTTATTTTTTCAGATAAAAAATCGAAATTTGGTATGTTAGTGTTAGTATATGACAAAAATCAGGATTGATTGATGAATTGAATTAGTTTCGGCCGGAAATGACGGCAACTTTTGATTTTTAAATGGTAGGTATCGTCGATATTTTTTTACTTCATTTAATAGACCATGACATTCGGAATAAAATGACATATCATATGTCAACTTTTGATATTTTCGCTTAAAAAATAGTATTTAAAATTTTAATCTAGAGTGTCATGTTAAAACCACTAATTTTTCAATTCAAATCAAGGAGCCTTTGAAAAATATATTTGATTGTCTAATATTTTTCGTGGCATTTCCTGGTGGGTTAAAAGATGCTCCAATTGTATGCTGGCGGCTCATTAACATATTTGGAAAAAGCATACTTGATATTTCAAGTAAATTTTTTTATGCGCACAACTAGTATTACGTTCTATTCAGAATATAATTTTCTATCAAACACCGAGGGTACCATTTAAAAATCAAGAGTTGCATTCATTTACAGTGAAACAGGAGTGACCGAAAATAATTAAATACGTCAATCAATCCTGATTTATATCAGGATTGATTGACGACATACCAAATAACAAGGATTCGAAGGAAGAGGAAACGTTCCTGCATTTCCTGTACCGCTGTCCGGTATAGGACCCGGAATCGTTTTCCTGGAGGTTTACAGCTTTGTAAATCTTAAAGTCTTAATCTCAATGTTGCCAGGAAGAGCATAATGGAAGTCACTCATTACCTCAATGCCCCCGAATTGTTTTATCAATCCAAATTTTCCATCCCTAGGGTCTCAATGTGAGTGGTATAAACAGGGTAATTCTGCTAACTGGAGTTCGGCAAGCGGTCACACTCGCCACTTTAACCAACCAACCAGCCAACCAACATACCAAATATCGTTTTCTACGATTAGCTAAGAAAATGCAGTTTGAAACATGGAAAACTCGATCTGAAATTGGCGCTTTGCAAACTGTTGTTTGCTAAGGATTTAGCGCACGACATGTGTCATTTTTCGCACGACATGTGCCAATTTTAACATTTTTAACCTCCAATGTTAAGCTGAAACACCATACGCAACGCAGCCGTCAGAAAAGTGTCATCATTACATCGCAAATTATTTCACAAAACTGGCAAAAACTGAGTGAGTCTGCTGCTAATTTGTGTCGTAGAAAAAATAGCGTAAAAATCTCGTTCAAAAACTTCTTTGTACACTCGTTCGACTTGTAGCTGCGGCTCGCCTGCTTGTTGCCTGCGGCTCGAGCCAACAAACTGTCGAACTCGTGTGCAAAACGTCGTTTTCGAAACTCGATGTTCAATATACTATTTTGTGTCTAAAAAAGTGGAAAAAGTTATCGGGGTGAGTCCCTTTTGACATCAGTCATCCGTCCCATAAGATTGACAAAACATAAAAACTTTTGCAGATTTTTAATTTCAATATTAACATCTGTATTGAATTCCAACGTTAACAATATAAAAACAAGAAGATTCATATAATCTACACTTCAAAGCGATCGGCCATTATTTATCTTCCAAATGTCAGGGTTACTGAAATAAACTGACATAACAACTTTAAATCAATATTATTTTTACATCCGCTACAGTAGCATATCAAAGTTCGACATTTAGATTCAATCTTTATAATTTTAAACATATTAAAAACTAGAACTATAATATATTATTTTCATATTCTGCCATTTTGTATTAACCTTGAGTATTAACCTTACTTATAAGTCAAAATGATATTTTACTTCTAGTTGTCAGCTTACTTTCTAAAATACATTAAAAACTTTAAGGTTATTGGTAAGAAACCGTACAAAAAAAGCTTAAAAGTGCTTTTATTTTTTTTTGTACCTATATGGCCATATGGTAGAAACATATGTTGTTTTAGGTTCAAAAAGTAAACAGAATTTCTAAAGAAATAACTTTAAGATAATAAAATTCTTTACAACAAAATATTTATATCTGCACATAAATCAATTAAAAATTAATTAACATTATTAAAAAACATAAACACTCACCGTCTTGGGTTTATTTGGATATCACCAAGTTAATTTCACCTGAAAATTAGAGAAAAATCAACATTAATATTAAAATAAAATAAAATTGATACTTATATTAATACAAATGTATAAAAAAACAGTGGCGGCGCGTACTTTGTAGGTGCACAATCTTAGAAAAACAAATAGTCATGCGACCTTGTAAAAATGACATTTTAGAGCTATCAAATCGTCAATCTAATGTGGCTAATTAAAGAATAATATTATATTATGAAAACGGCTACTAATGTTATTGTATTTATAAATTGAATGCCATTGTAATATTTCTGGATAGTGAAAACAGAAGTCTGAGCCTCGACGCACACAGAAAGAGCAAAATATGTGATGCCCCAATGCAAATTAAAACTTGGCTAACGCACGCTGACCAGTGGAGAGCGTTAAGACAGATTTAGGTTTGTTTCTTCACAGTCAGGCTGTCATGGTAAAACATGTTACAATAAACAATAAATACAATAAAGCGTGAAATCGTGAGGGAAAATATACAAAAAATAACCACCAGTATAAACTAGTGTAACTGCCTTTCAGCATCATCAGTACAGCAAAAAATCAGCAAACGATGAAATAGATCCCAAGAAACAAAAACCAGGAAGCATACGATGCACGAGGCACCGTTTGCAACATTGGCGATGGAGAAAAAATAAAATAAGTTCACGGGAGCCTACAGCCCTAATTTATAGCCTAGAACCAGGGTCGACCAGGATTGTGGGCTTCGCCCAGAATAGCTAAGGAGATAGCGAATAACAACCCGCCGCAATACTCTTGCCGAGAAACAATATAAAATAAAAGCAGGAATCGGAAAGGGGAAATATACAAAAAAGTCGTAACCGTATATACCAATGTATACTAGAGTGAACTACTAACTATTATACTAGTGTAACTGCCTTCCAGCATCATCAGTACTGTAAGGAATCAGCAAACGATTGATTTCAACCTTTATTTTATATTGTTCCTCGGCTAAAGGTATTGCAGCAGGTTGCTATTGGCTAACTCCTCAGCTATTCTGGACGAAGCCTACAATCCTGGGCAAGTCTGTTTCTAGGTTGCAAATTGGGGCTTTAAGCTCCCGTTTGCTCCATTTATTTTTCAGTTTTTTCTCCGTCAACGGTGACGAATTGTTGAGGGCTGTGCCGATTATTTTTCCTTCTTTTTTATCTTTAATTACTGTAGAGGGAGATGGGGGTTTCACCATCCACCGCAAGGAGCCGGAAGTGACGTCATGTGACAGTTAAAACAAGTAAAAACGGTTAAAAGGCGCTAATAAACAAGAATCTTGTTCTTACAGTGGCATACACTATACAGAGCGTAGGCTACCTCTCGTATGTATTTAGTGTAATAGGTACACCAAATATGTAATGACAAAAACGTTTTTGACTAGAACAGTTTTCCTCTTTCTCTGCGTTTCCTCTGCTCTGTGCATTCAGCTTAATAATCATTATACTAAATATGAACTATTTATTTTTGATTTTTTAACAATACCTCTTCTCTGCTCTTCTGCTGTTATTTTAGACAGATTTACTTTTGTTGACATGAACTATAAAAATCCACTTACGATAGTAAATAACCTACAATCATAAAGAGAAGAGGTCAAGATAAAAATTGTTCATCTAGTTGAAATTACAGATAATGTTTTCAAAGCAAATGACGCGATTTCAGTCCGTTTTGTGAAATCCGAGATTCGAGGTTATTTTTGAAACTGAAAACATGTTTTGTTTTTGAAAACAATTGAGTCCATTTAGTGGAAATCCGCCTTAAGCTACCAATAATAGTAAAGAAAGGTTAAGGAAGTTAATGTCAAATTAATAATACCACTTTATAAAATAAAACTCAACAAAGGCACTGTTAATAAGCAACAAACAGGAAGTCGTTGAGGAATAATATGTTTCCGATAGATATATGCTACGACCTACAGTCTATTTTTTTCCTTCTAGTCTTAATAACCTCATTATTTTGTAACTGTAACAAAATAAAAAAAAATAGCCTAACCATCCTTGAAACAAATAACGAAATATATCGTTTTTATTGTTTCTTTTTTCTCGCTCTTGTCGGTCAAGGTAAGTTAACCTGTGCATCTGTTTTATAGAGTGGGCTTAGATTTTAAGTTAGTGTAATGTCTGTGCATAATAAATTGTTTCTAATATGTGATTTTGTTTTTAGGAGTACAAGGTGTCTATAAAAAATTAGAAATGGCTGGTGGTAGGGCAAAAATTCTCAAATATTCGTTCATTCTCTTAACATTTAAAAAGAATCGAAAAAATATAATTTTTTTTATTTTATTGGAAAATTTATATATTTTACTGTAAATGTCCGAAATTCGGTAAAACCTAGGATTTACCAAAAGCAAGTGGTAGTAAAAACCAACCAACCCCACCAAATAACCACCTAACCAATGCATTAACACCCCCCAAATAATTAGGCTTATCAATGCATTAACACTCTCCAAATAACCAGGCTAACCAATGCATTAACACTCTCCAAATAACCAGGCTAACCTAATGCTTTTGGTAAATCCTAGGTTTAGCGCGCTTATCCTAGGTTTTACCGCATTTCAGACATTTACAGTAGCATATATTTAAAATGTTCTCTTAAACGCTGCTAAATATTATAAAGTTTAAAGGAATAAGAATTCAAACAAAAAAACATTTAAAAGAAAATATACCGAGTGTAAATAAATAAGTTCCAAGAATCAGCATACGTTTTTTTAAAAGCTTAGGGTTTTTACTAACTCGTTTAAGTTTTTTTCCTTTCGTTGTTTTAGATTTGGCGTTTCTCTGCAAATATATTTGAATATATGGATGAACAATTTAGAATTTGGTATACTAAAGTACAAATAGATTCAAAAATTGACCACCGACATCTAAAAATTCACAGACAACTGTCATTGTCAGAGTCGATCCTTGGACAATTGAATAAAAATATTAGCTTTTTAGAGTTTTTGTCAGTTTTTACTGATGTTTCACTTCGCATATTTGAATTTGATTTGAATTTTTGCGAATTTGTTGGGCTTTGTTGACTTTATGTTATTTCGTGTTTTAGTAGTAAGAATAGTTATGCAAAATATTCCAATTTAGAAATGAATTATGCTTGAACTAGAAAATTAAAATGGGATTATTGTGAATCTTAGAAAGGTGCTTTAAAAATAGGTAACTGTGCAGCGTACGATTGTTTCCAGATAAAAAAAAAAACATGAAGAATAATGGACCAACTAACTTTTCACTTAAGTAAGTAAATTAATAATAATATATGTTACGAGTATTAAACTAATGAATTATGATAGACACTTGAATGAACTAATTATATTTTTATTCTTACATTTTCTCATTTTTTTAATAGTTGTCAAAAATAATTATGATACGTCAATTTTAACTTAGTTGGTTCACATTATAAATTAGAGTAAGTATCAAAAATTAAAATGCATCTATTCTATTAATACAATAAAAACAGATATGGTTTAAAAAAATAATCAATTTAAATTAAATTTAAAACAAGCCTGCTAAAATTCAGTTGACAGAACTGAATACCAGATAGTCTGTAAGACTAATGAAGCCACTAAAGAATGATATTCCTGTTGTTTCCCACACGTTTTAAGTACCATACCGGTAACCGGTAGTTGTAATTTTATATTGTCGTTAAAAGGCTTAATGTAAATATCTTCTGTATAATTCATCAGGCTATCTTTATTCTGTCTAACTACATACTTTTATTGTTCTGTTGATTTCATTAGAATTTTTATTTTTGGCTCTGAAATATGTAGGTCAGAGTTTTTTAAAAGGCCATTGTGTTTTGGCAAATTGTCTTAAAATTATGTTACCAGTAAAAATACTAAATTGGTATTATATAACAATAGAATGAATAGTTTTTGATGATTCAGTTAAATAACTGAAAATATTTTTTGAGGTATATCATTATTAAGATCACAGCCTATTCATAACCAGTCTGTCGACTTACGATCATTACGATTATTGAAATCTGCGTACCTAGTACCTAACTAGAGATATTCGCTTATCCTATGTAAAAAGTCCGGATTCTGAGTTTCATAGAAGAATATTTAAGTGAGCTATTAGACTCAGTCCTATTAGACCAGCTGGTCATATTTGCTTGTTTTTGTGTATCAAAGTGTCACACCTAAATTGAATACACAAAAACAAGCTAAGTGACCAACTGGTACTTAATAAGCTGTAATTAAGACTATGACCATAGTTGGCTATACAAGGGTGTTTCAATTTTTTTTTTTGAAATAAAAAAATTAAATATTTTGAAACACCCTAGGCTATACGTATTCTGTGTACCCTGTGTCTAATGAAAAAACCTGTGAGATCTAGTAGATTTTAACAACGCAAAAATTATAATGAAAGATAAGCAATAGCCTCTAAAAGACACATAAAATAGGCTTTTTTAATACAATCTTATAAAAATAAATGTACTGCTAATGCATATGTAGATGTTAGTAAGTAATGTATAACAATCGCTTCTTTGATTTTAGAGAACATAACATAAACATAACATACGCGTAAAAATTAAAAAATAATCAGACAAAAAGTTTAAAACTTTTTGGTTTTACTAAGCTAAGGTTTACTTAAGTAAATAATTGTCATCAGGTAGTAATTGTGAATTTTTTAAGTTGAACTTATTGCTTGATGTAATATCATTTTAACAGAACGTCAACAGTTTTTATAGGCCTGGTGCATTTCAGTTGATTTCAACAAATTCCGACCGCAGCGCACTCTACAGCTGAAATCAGAATTGATCAACAATGTAGTTCACGCCGCCGTGATGTCGATAGCATTAAAATAATAATATTGCAATCGGGGTTAGGTTAGTTAGTTTTTGCTAGTGCCGTTATTGATACTATAAAACACTCAGGTACGAGATTTGTGTGATGTAAAGCTGTTTCGGGTAGTAAAAAATAAGTGAAAAAGAATTCAAACTAGCCGTCTTGTTGTGTTAATTTTAAATGTTAATAAAATTGCCCAAAAAATGTTAACGCATAAAGGAGAGCGTAA